CCAATCAACATTCAGTGATGTCACCTTGATAGCTTAGTAGAAATATTTACCCCATGGCAACTGGCAAATGCTACAAATAAGGCTTTAAATATTTTTTGGGGAGAGCTGGTTAAACATTTATCAGCCTACCACCGAGACAAACACTCATACAGAAGAGTACAATATCAGAAGTGAACAGCTCAGCGAACTGTCACAAACTGAACAAAAAAACCTGTGTGACCAGCACCCAGAGAAAAAAATAGAGCAATGTCTGCACCCCTGGAAGTTCTCCCCCGAGTGCCCCTTCAGGCTCCCCTTTGGGTAAACACAAATCTGACGTGTAACCACAGAGATGATCTATTTCTGTACATTATGGAGAATCAAAGGTGAATTATTGAGTCTGGCTTCTTGCACTTGCCATCGTCGGTGACATTCATGCATATTGTTGCGTATGGCTGCACAATGTTCACTTTCATTACTGTGTATATTGTGTGAATAATCCCTGATTTGTACGGCCATTCTACTGTTGATGGGCATTTGGGTAGTTGACGGGTCTAGACTCTTATAAATAGGCCTGCTATGGGCCGGTTAGCACATTCTTCTGGCTCACGTGCTCACATTCCCACCTGGGAGTCTGGGGGCCATGGGGCACACATGGGGTCCATTTAGCAGACAGGTTCTCAGCTATCCTCCCTTGGACTCTGTTTCTGTTCTCTGCCCGCTCCCTGACTCCTGTAACTCCTCCCGCCTTACGAGCCGGCTTACTAACCTGGCACCTTCCATGCTGGCGCAGACCAGAGTAGGCCTTGGCTTTAGCTGTGAAGGTGGACCCCAGGCTCCTGGCACTGGTCTGGAAGAGGGAGCAGACAGCTGGGTGCACCTGCTGCCCCGTCAGCTCTGGAGCCTATTACAGCAGCAGAGCTGTGCAAACGAGCCCCGGCTAGGAAGCAGCGGACAGGTATCGGAGCTGGAGTGGGCTGGAGGGGGCTGGAGGAGTCCTGGGGTCTGAGTTTTCCAAGTGGTTCCAGCTGAGCAGGAACTAAGCTCGCACATTCAGACAATGTGTTCTTGTGAGCCTTGGTTCTGCGGCTCCATTAAAAGAGGCCCATTGTCCAGCTGCCTGTTTACTGGCGGGGGACTCGGCATTGTTCAGTACAAGTGGGCAGAGCCAGTGTGGGTCAGAGGCTCCTGGCTTTGACCTTCATCAGGGTGGGTGCTCCCCATGCCTTTGAAAGCGTGATGCTCCCCATGCTGACGTCACCCCGCTTTGTAGCAGCTGGTGCTTTTCTACATACTTTTACCAGGAGGCTTCATGTGACCACCGGCTGTATGTCCAGCACCGAGCAGATCGGCCTCTCCGATTTCTCACACATCACTGGGGACGCTGACGTTTAAAGTTCCTGTCATTTTTGAGAGGGCGAGTGAGAATAATGACTTTGTGCCACTGCAAGCCAGGCACAGGCGAAGCACTTTCCACGCCCGCCTCATACTCATTTCGCTTAATTCTCACGCTGATGCTCCGTTAGCCCAATTATTACCCCGTTTAGGCAGAGGAAGGCACTGAGGCTTGGAGAGATTAAGGCTCAGTGCCTGTGTTTTTGATTTTCAAGCCTCACTCTTAACCACTTCCATCCTGTCTCTCTGGGCCCAGGTAACAAATGGCCTTGGCTGGCCCAGCCAGGGCACAAAACTGCCGCTCTTAGAAATGGGCAGAAGTGGTGCCACAGGTGACAAGAGGCACCAGGCCCTGCATCCTGGCTGAGCCTGAGAAGATGCACACCTAGCGTTTTAGGGCTGGGCACACAGCAGGGGGCAGGTGACCAAACACTGGGGCACGGGAAAGGGCATGCATTACCTCTGAGCTCAGTGGGGCCCCTGAGGAAACCTGGGGACCATAGAGGTCATGAGCCAGGCCTCAGGGCGCACAGGGAGGGGCCGGCCACATGATGGCCTCTCAGGATCTGTCTGTTGGACACATTTGCTGGTAAGTGGCCCAGGCAGGAGGCGATCCAGGTCTGCCAAACTCCACATCCTGGATCATTTTCACTGTCCCTTAACACAGCAGGAAAGTGACAGCTGGAGGTATGTAAGTGCTGAGGCCATAATGAGTGGTCTTCCCATTACGAGGCGGGGCCCCTGTGCGGAGGCTCTAGACGCTGGGTGATTCTCCCTTTTTGGGCCAATTCCAGATTCTTAGGAGCTGAGCCGTGGTCCGGGAGGGACCTGTGCCCGCGTCGCATGGGAATCAGCTGGGCTTGCTGACAAAATGCAGATTCCTAGGCCCCTGAGACTCAGAATGACTCTAAATGTCCAAGGCTAGAGCTGGGAATCTGATTTTGATACTGAGGACCCCAGGGGACGCCGCCCAGATCTGAAAGCCTGGCCCTTAGGTAGTCAGGCCAGTGTGCAGAGGGTGCGTTCGCCATCTCGTCCTCAAATCTGCTTGGACCTATAAAGTGAAATTTAAATTTCTGTCCGCGGACGTGCAAAGCCAAGGAAGGCCTCTCCCCTGACAGTTCTGCAGAAGGTCAGTTTTGGCCTCCGAGCCCCTGCGTAGGGTTTGCTGTGTGCTAAGACTTTTGCAGAGCAGCTGTGTTTATGAGCTTTCATCCCCGTGTTCAGGAGCTTCTGTGTTTCGATGTTTGCGTCCAGGGCTGCTGTGCTCAGACAGGCTCAGTCGCTCACTTTCTTCTCGGTCACATTCTGGAGAGGAAGGACACCCTGTGTGCCCGCTTGACCTCTGGGTCCCACCTGAAGAGCAGGGTCGTGGGCCCTTCCGGCGACGCCGTTGCTTCTCTGAATGGGACGCTCCATCACATTTCAGTCTCCACTTCCCCGGGGCTGACCTGTCCGTGGAAGGCTGCGCCGGCCCTGCCTCGCCCCACGGGTCACGGCTCAGAGTGGCTTGGGCCGTGCCCTTTGGGCAAGTGTAACGTCTCCACACATCAGTCTCCTCAACTCTAAAACGAGAATAACAGTGCACGTCGCAGGGCCGCCGAGGCGAACGCTGATCCAGCCCTCGGCTGGCGCCTCGCCCGTCCGCAGCGCAGGTCAGTTGTCGTCGGTGTGGAGCTGGCCACACGTGCAGGCAGGGGCACTCGGCTGCCCCTCTGTGGGGGCCCTGCTGCGTCTTCGGGCTGCTGCCCCTACCCCAGCGGTCTCAGGGGTGGCACACGCTGTCCCACCAGAACTTCGTGCCAGCTCCTCGCCCTCACCTGCTCAATCCACACAGGCCTTTAGACCTGCCCTCCTCCAGGAAGCTTCCTTCCAGGTGAGCTCCACAGTAACCTCACTCGGCTGTCCCCCGCCCCAGCCTGCCACCGTCTCAGGGACAGCGGGTAGAGGGCACGTCTGAGCAACCCCAGGCCTGGCACCGTCTTGGCACAAGGAGAACGTTAGGGGGTTACAGAACATGGTCTAGCAGGCCCACCTTCACCCCGGGCTGCGGAGGTCAGGCTGGACGTGCCTGTTCTTTCCATCGCTGTTGGAGCGACACATCCTCAGACAGGCACCCCTGCTAGAGAGGGGAGCCCATTAGCTCGGGAGTGCCCTTCTACTGCAGATTCGGAAACTAAGATGCCACTCGGGATGGATGAGAACACGTGGGTGTGCGGACGGCAAAGCACGACAGATGGAATTATCCTGATAATTATCGTCAGGACCACCCTGTGCTGCCACACGTACCCCCGCATCCTGGGAGTGGGGATGACTGAAGAATAGGGGGGGAGGACACGGTTAGGGAAGGGGAGACAAAAGCAGGGTGGGGAGGGAGGGCGGGGGAAGGCTATAGCCGAGGCCACAGACACCTGGGCTCACACCGCCTTCATCAGTTACTGTGACCTGAAGCAAGTCACTCAGCTCTGCGAGCCATGTCCTCACCTGAAGATGTGCCTCACAGGAGACCGAACGCAGGTACAGAGAACACAGCTCCACCCACCAGGAGTGCTGGAAGGACCGAGGTGGACGGATTGGGACACAATGCTTGTTTCCGGCATCACTGGGAGCACCATCGGCAGTCACGGCACACGGTAGGGGACAGTGCCATCAGCGGGCACGGCACACTGGAGGGGACAGCGCCATCGGTGGGCATGGCATACCGGAGGGGACAGTGCCGTCGGCAGGCACAGCACACTGGAGGGGCTGCTTTCAATGGGGTGAGTCATCTGTTCACTCAGATACCAGTCCAGGTTTAAAACACCAACATGGTACCATTTTGCATTAGACAAAAAGCTGACTGCCCTTTGCCTGAATTATCCAGATAATGATGTGAGCATCTCCCAGAAATACCCCGATAGTCACTGGAAAGTGTGTGAGCGGGTGTTAAAATCTCCTCCCTTTCCTGGCAGGAAACAAGGAGACCAACACTTTAGAATCTTCGACGCCACAGTCTGTCCATTTCCCTGGCTAGGATTTTGTGAGGAAAGAGAATAGACATTGGCAGAAACCCTGATGGTGGCCCTGGAGCCAGACCCACTCGTCTGGCCTCTGGACTCGGTAGTTCACTAGCTCTGACAAGTCCTGCACGGCAACGGATCTGAGCCTTCTCCGCGCTCTGTGAAGCCAAGGTTCCCAGCTGCCACTGGCTTGTTGAGAGGACCACATGCAGGCAGGTGCCTGGCCCTGGGTCTGCTCACGGCAGGGGCACCCGGAGGGACAGCTAAGTGACAACGCCCACCCACGGCACTTGGTCTGTCTGTGCTGGGCATCGCCTAAGAGCTTTCGATGACCAGGTGTACCACGCCCCCCTTCTTCCCGTCCTGTTCACACACACGGGACCAGAAGTAGGTGTCACGGAGGTGGGAATGGCAGGGGGTGAGGGTGGGGGGAGCACCAAAACGCCGAGGGCCCCGTCTCGTGAGCCGAGATCACTGACACTCATTTTTATGTATCCAGAGTGAGCTTCTATATAGGCGTTGGAATGGTTTGTCATCTGCACCCCCGAAAGCACAGCCAAGGGACATCTCGATTTTCTCCAAACAGAAGAGTAGTGGACAACTCACAAAACGGCCTGATTTCAGATATGTGGGATCAACTGAGAATATGTTTATTTAAAAGCAATTTTAAATATTAAAAAAAAGTAGAAATTAACACATACAGTACTGAAAAACTCACATTAAATACATGTGAAATGACAAATGTACTGATGTTGGAGTGTAACATCCAGATGAGAACTCGGAGTTTGACTGGCGGCACTATGGGATTCCTATACAACGTGCTGAAGTTCTAGGCGATAAAAAAATAAATAGCAATTGCTGTTCAACAGTAAAATCAGACACACACTATTTGCAGAACGTAACTTTCCCCTCTGGGGGGAAAAAAAAACTAGCTATTTTTTTTTCCCATAAGGTTCCATACCTTCAAAATACTATATCGTGTACAAAATTGCAGATAGTGGCTCACTGAGTTTAAGAACAATATCAGATTTAAACTCAACCGAGATCAGCAAAGGTATTTATACCTAGTTTTCCTATGTCCCACAGGAGGCTGGGTTAGCGAGAACTCAGATTCCTGGTGGAAAACAAAGACAAAAACGCAGGAAAAAAAAAAAAGGTATTAAAAAAAGGCGTTTGTGTAAGTTGCTGCTAAAGAGGAAAGAGAATAGACATTGATTCCATGTAATTTTAGACATCTAGTTTTCATGTTTTTTAAAAACCAGTTTATTTTGAGATCAGTTGAAAATACTGTAGGCCACAAAAATGAACAGTTCTTTAATGCAACTTAAAATGTTTAACTGAACGAACTGGGACACTAAGTAACTTGGGACAGTGACCTCCTGTCCTGACACCAGTGTGGCTTAAGTCCTGAGCTGCGAACACTGTCGGCCACCCACCAGCACGTCGGCCAGTCCGGATGTTCTCGCTGCCGAGATGCTGGGGAAGCAACGGCTTAGGCTCGCTTTCCAACGCCAGCCGATACGCTGCAGGTTTGCCATGCGAGGTTTATTAATTGGGTGGCCATTCAGAGTTTTCACAGTCACCACGTAAGCGAACTACATTAATGTTCACCGAGCACTGTGACCGTGTTAAAGAGGGCTCTTCCTAAGGGTTTGGTTGGGAGTTGTGCTTCTGTGAAATGAACAATTCTCACTCACGGCTAAGATGATCTGTTTAAGAATGTTAGTTTTCTGTGCGGTAGCCAACGAAGCATTTGAAGCGAGTGTGATGCCAGAGGGACACATGAGCCTTGGAATCAGACAGCGGCCCCACCGACTGGGCAGCTAAGCGACTGTGTTTTCAAAACTCGGACTCAGGTTAAGAGGCCGAAACACGCACGATGATCTTAATGGTGTGGTAAACACGGCTGGATGAACAGAAACCCGAGGGGAAGACTCGCTGCAGGAAGAGAGAGTTTTCACAGTGCAAGTCACAGCGGTGTTAGAACCTGGGGTGTGCATGGACTTGCAGGTGACGTGTCTGCTGGACAGGACGTAAGATGGGAAAGCCTGCCTACGACTGGGGTTTAATAAAGAGCCTGGAAAGAGAGAAGGCTGGTTTCAGCACCTGGGTTCTACGCTGGGGGGGCCGTGTGCAAAGCTGACTTTCAAATCTGTCCTCTTCTTGAATGATCTTTTAAAAGTTCCAATTTATCGAGAACAGAACTATGGAGATAAGTTGATGCGGTAGATGCTTTAAGATATGTGAAGAATGCTAATGCATAAAATGATATGTAAATTCATACTCTTGAGAAAGCCAAAGGACTGACTAGAAACAAATACTGTTGCAACCTTATAATTTCTGCTTTAATGGCAATCAGGTTTAAAAAATGTACAGTTCAACTGATCCATACTATTCCTTTATAAAAGGCAGATTTCAGGTAAGCTTCTAAATGCATGCATAATGTAGAGGCTAATATTTTCTGGCAGTCCTTGGTTCCTGAAAATTGAACTCCATCCGATGGGTTTTAAACTTCTGTCAAAATAGTCATGAAGGCTATGTTATTTTTGCATAATGAGGTAACATCTCAGGGGTGGGCACTCCTCATAAGACAGTACAAATCCACTTGGTCTAAACTTGCATGAGGCTGTGGGCACAGTAAAATGCCACCAACGGTTTTGGGTCAGTGAATATTTTGCTGAAGGAGATAACACTTACATTTAGCTGAGCACTTTTCTGTAATAAATACCAGAGTAGGTGTTTGCAGCTGTCAACTGTATACGCAGATGACTACAGGCTGGTCCGTCATGGAGCCAGAGTTTCACCTGGAAAGCAGAAGCCACCTCTTTGCTAATGCTGCATTTTCAGCAACACAACTGAGAATACTGCTTTGTTAGGGACACAGAGTCAATTCTATGCCTTTCGACGGTTGCCGAGACCACGTCCACTTGCAAAGCCAGCAGTTCCTATATTCGCGTGTCTGCTTGCTTGGCAAAGAGCAGAGAGAGAGAGATGAGTGCTGGATGCCGAGGATGGCTCTGGCAAACCAGTAAGGCGCGCCGGGCCCCAGGCCCCCCTAACACTGGCGAAGGCAGAAGACCACAGGGTGAGTACAACACACACTACGCTCCCCTCCTGAGGTGGCCCGTCGCGGGTGTCCCAGTCCGGGACGGCAGCTATATACACGCTGTGCACAGGGTTACGTGGAGGCGGCAGTCCTGCATGGGGGATGTGGACGATCGTAAGGTTCTGGCTTTGCTAGTCAGACAGGATGTGAACGAAGGACACCGGAAAGACCCCCTTCCTTTCAGGATGTCCTTCGATGTGCCCAATCTGTGGGAAGAGAAGAGAGGTGTCAGGGGGGAAGCCTGCGACAAGCCTGGGGGGTCGGAGCGTGCCCCGAGTTTGCCCACAGATCTGGGGTGAAATGCGGGCTTACCCTCTGCCACCCTCTGGTGAGAACTAATGGACGATAAACTATATAACAAAACAACAACGATGAAGTAGCGAAGGCACAACGCTCGGCACTGTCACGTGGGTCCCGTTTTGTCCGCACAGCGTTCTGACGAGGGAGCCATTCCTGGGCAACGTGCTGTTCACCAGGGGGCTTGGCTGCCTGTCCTGCTGGGTGACCTCAGACCAAGCTTGCTAAGCCTCTTATCTGTAAAATGGGGCTTAAAAAAAATCCCCTCTCTTGGGCTTGTGAGATTGCAGAAAAGATCGCGTATGTGGAAAGGGCTGCTACGTACCCAGAAGCTGTTTTCCGGCTGCTGTCAGGGAAAGGGTACCGTGTGTCTGAGATCGACTGTGGCCTACGACAACTTGACTGTCTATTGCCTAAGCCTGTAAGCCATGGCTACCTGCAAAACCTTTCCAATTATCTCAATTAGATCAGCATGAGCTGAATTAATGAGAATCCTATCACGGAAACAAACAAACAAACAAAACAAGACATGCATATTGGCTTCAAGTGACAGAGAGCGGGTGGCTTTGAGGGCCTGCCAGGCCGGGCCAGGTCTCACTTCTCTCCACAAGTGCAGATGGCAGCTGGAGCAGGGCTATGTGTCCAGCCCAGGGCTGGTTCCTTTATTTACAGCTCTGTGACCTTGGGCGGTCACCCTGGCTGTTGACACGGTTTTCTCATCTGGAAAGAGGACTTAATGGTAAGACCTGACCCACCTGTCTCTTGGGATCTAGGCTGGCATGAGGCATGTGAGTTCTTAGACGGCCTTGTGAGGTTGGGTTACTGTTGCCTCGTTTTCCAGAGGAGGAAACTGAGGCTCACAGAAGGGACATGCCTTATTCAAGGCCACAGAGAAAGCAAGCAACTGCACCAGGGACCCCAGAGTCCGCCTCCTCGCCATGATGCTAAGCTGGCTCTCCGAGAGACTCCACGCCGGGGGCAGGCCCAGCTCCACAGAGGCTGGAAGTACCGCCCTGGCTGTCCCCTCTGCCCATCCGTCCCTGACAGAGAGAAGCCTCGTCACCTCAGTGCAGGGTATCTCAACTTACACACTGACATTTTGGGCCAAATGATTCTTTGTCGTGGGGCTCTCCCCAGTACTGCAGGATGTCTTGCAGCATCCCTGGCTCCTATCCATGGGTTGCCTGTGGTACCCACCCTTCCCAGGTCCTGACAAGCAAAACATCTCTGATATTGCCAAATGTCCCCTGAGGGCCAAACTGTCCCAGTGGGGAACCGCTGCTCCAGTCGAAGCAAAATCCCTACAGCTCTGACAAGAAGCCAAAGTCACTGTCTCAGCTCAAAAGAGCACAAGCTGCATACGTGTGTGTGTGTGTGTGTGTGTGTGTGTGTGTATGTGTGTGTGCACACGTGCGCACTGACACGGGTGTCTCTGAGCATTCCTAAGTTCTGCCCAACTGCGAACCACAGGTCCCTTTCCTGGCAGACAGAACCGGGTCCCTGGGGGCAGGAGGAGGCTTAAACCCAGGCATTTCCAAGGGCCCCTGATCCCCAGACGGCCACAGTGTGGGGACGACGATGCCCTCCCTCACCGGCACTCGGGCAGCAGGCATTCATAAGAAAGGAGTTTTTATAGATATTCGCATTTAATCTTCTAGAAGCACGTGAGGGAGGCACTGTGCCCCACTTTAGAGAGCTGCAGATGGTCCAGGGCTGAGCCCGAGGACGGCGTGCTGGTTGGCCAGCAGGGACTCAGGCCTCCGCCTCCTGGCGTGGGACAGCGTGGCATGGTGAGTAAGGCACACGGGCTTTTGGGCTTCAGCATCGTGGCTGCTGCTGACTAGCCGAGTGCCACAGGCACCACGCTTAGCTTTCCTAAACTTTAGCATTGCACTTAAAAACTCAGGAAATGGCCACGGCTCACAGGTCGCGGTGAGCAAAGGTAAACAAACACATCGTGTGCTGATTCTCTTGACCCGGTTTCGAAGCTCCACAGTGATTTTCTGGCTCGTAGCACAGCGAAGGACGATCCCAGTGAAAGGGCTGCTGGGAGCAAGGCGCGCGTACGTACCCACCACTCCTGGTCCTCCTCCCCAGTGACGATGATCACTTCTCCCTCGAAGAAGGTCAGCTCGTCGTCGTTGTCGGCCTGGCAGTCGTAAATGGTCTTCACTCGCCTCACTTTATTTTTCCCCTTCAAGAAAGAAACTGAGTTTGAGCTTCCGAGGGGAGCTGAAGCCGGGGAGAGGACACGTGGACCTTGGGCGAGTGACAGGACCTCCCCAAACCGCGATTTCTCTGCCGTGTGTGGGGGGGTGTGTGTCTGCCCGGTGGCCCGTGTGCTGTGTCGTCTCGAGACACAACAGCTCCTCTCCCTTTCCCGAGCATCGGGGCAGACAGAGCCTGGCATCAGTGAGCAGGTGTCACCCATTATTTTCATCAGAAAACAAACAATACGGGCAGGGATCAAAACCTGGCTTTGCCGAGACACGAAGCCTGCTGCCCTCCCCCGCCCTCGGCGGCCGCTCGCAGAGATGACAGCAGAGTCTAAAACTGGTTTTGGGAAACATGATGTAAAGCAAAATGTGCAGCTTCTGCTACTGAATGTGCAGCATAAACAGATTTCTCAGTCCCTCATGCAAAGTGCCCAGGCAGCGCACGCTGCGGAACGCGGCAGGGCCAGCCGGGGTTGACAGGGTTCTAGGCAGTTCCCCAAAAAGTTCTATATTTGACTAATGTGACTTGGGCTTTTATTTGCTGGACTCCCAGTCCTCTGCAAACAGGAAGACAGAGATGGGGAAATCGCTTTCTACAGGATGTTTTTGGCACTCGGCTTATTAAATAATTAGTAATAAGAAAAGCAAGCTACATCTCGACGTGCTTCAGTCCACAACTTTCCCGCTCGGTCCCCTGGTTTCTCTCTCGGTCACCCTGATGACCCCGCCCCCTTCTGCAGCTTGGTTCCCAGGGTTGGCGGGCAGGTGGGGTCTAAGTGTGGCCATGTTTGATCTGGGTCTTCTTGGTCATGCTCTGTGAACGACTGAGAAGACCCGCGTGTGACTCTAGAATGGGGAGGACCACAAAGCTGCTGCAGAGCGTGTGGCACCAACTAGAATCTGCGTCAGGGCCCTCGGCGGTGCCTGGGGTCTCGGGCGTGGCCGCCGTGGGCAGCGGCGCCCGCCATGCTGGCGGTGTGGTGTCTAACCCGTGGGAGGATGGGTGTTTCTTTCCGTCCCTTTTGTGCTGAGGGGACACTTCCATCCCAACGTTGTTTTCATAATAAAGTGTTGCGTGGGGCAGGGCTGTCACGTGTGGTGGGAGGCCTTTCAGCCCCACTAACCACGCCTCTCGGCCTGGGGCGCCGCCTCTGGGGTGCCACTGCCCCTGTGAGGGTGCAGCCGTGGGCAGGGCGCATGCGCGCACGCATCTTCTTGGAGCACTGCTTTTCCAAATAGATTTTTTTTTTGGGAAAAGCAGTTTTATATTAAAATGAAACTGATGTATTGTGGAGCAGAAAGCATTTCATGAGGATGATGGGATGTGAGACTTCGGCCAAATCCTATGTTTACAGCAGTCTGCGGGCTCTGCCCCCGACGCCTGCAGGAGGATGCAGGGAGCAGCAGGGGACCAGGATTCCTGGCGCCCTGACGGGACCGGTGTCCTGGGACCCACGGGGACCGGGTGTCCTGGGACCCAGGAAGGAAGAGTCTCATCCCTGAGGCTCCCAGCGAGGAGTGCTGCTCGCTGAGTGCGTCTGCGGTGCCAGCCAGGCGACGCTCGCCTGGAGCTTGGTTACTCTCTCAGCTCCTTTCTGCACGCGAGGACACGGAGGTCTGAAGCAGGTGGGTGCTGGCCGGGGCCGGGCGGGCTTGGTGGGCCTGGTGGGCGGGTCCTGAAGCCCGGCTGTTGCAGCCGAGGCCTGTGCTGCAGAGCAGCAGCCCCGCGCCTCCCAGTGCCCGGCCCGCCCAAGCCAGCAGGGGACGAGCTGCCGCTGTCCACATGAGCACAGCACACACCCTCCCACCAGGTTTGGGGGTGCAGCAGGGTCCCCCAGAGCCCGACTGCACGCCACTCACCGTGTTGACCTTCCTGGGCAGTGGGACGGGCGTCTCAGGCAGAGTGGGTGTCAGGTCGTTGGGGTCCTCAGAGGCTTGCTTGTGCACAGCGTCTCGGGCCGGCACGTTTGGGGAGAGATCCGCCGGGTGTGACCTCGGGGCGACGTCGGAGGGCGGCTGAGCCTTGGGCGACAGGTCTCCCGGCTGAGACTTTGCCAGCAGCTCTCCCAGGTGCGGTTTGGGAGGCAGATCCTTCATCTGGGGCTTGGGGGGCAGGTCTGAGAGCTGGGGTTTGGGGGGCAGGTCGCCCAGCTGGGGCTTAGGGGGCAGTTCTCCTGGCTTAGGTGGCAAATCTCCAATTTGGGGTTTGGGAGCCAGTTCGGTGGGTTTCGGGGGCAGGTCTCCAGGTGGTGGCTTTAGTGGTAACTCTGCCAACTGTGACGATTTCTGGAAGATTTCGGGTGGGGCGCTGGCTTTGTCCAGGGAGAGATGATGGCTGGTTTCTGTTTTCCTTAGTGCCACTGTGGGGAGCAACCACAAAGAGCGAGGTCATCGGACGGAAGGAAGCGCCGCTTCCCCCCGTCACAGCCGCCGTGAAGAGAACCGGCCTAAAGCGAGCACCTGGGTGGGCCAGACCCAGGCGCCCACTGCCCGTTTTTAGAGAGATGGAAGTGGGAAGCCTGGAGGCATCCACATCGCTGTTCAGGATGTTATGCCTCAGTTACGTAAGAACAGGATGTCCAAACTAATCCAGGCTTTAAAACAAAAACCTGCAACTACAAACATAATGCAGATTAGAGAAAAATTAGAAAGTACAGAGTTAAAACAAGTTTTCCATAAGCCTATCACCCAAATGAGGCCATTTTAAGTATTTTGATATATGTTCTGCTTGACTTTTCTATATATTTTCCATAGATAAAACTTTTTTCTGCTTGTATCGATATACTATTTTATGAGCACTGAGCATGTTAATAAATCCTATATTAGCATTACAATTTTAACTGTTGCATTCTGTCCCATTGTGGGGCTGTATCAGAACGTATTCGCTCCCTATAGTTTATGCTTCACATACTACATAAGAAATAAAAAGTATTTTCTCTGCCACCCACTGCCTTTGACCACATTTTCGTGACACAGGTAATGTGTGCTCATGGAAATATCTTTTAAAAACCACACACGAGATCACAGTAGCCGCTCTCTGCAACTGTTTTTTTCCCCCCATTGATCCATTCGGGAGTTTCTAAGTCAGTCCCCCCTTACTCTCTTTGACGGCTGCGTCGTACTCCACAGCTGGAGGATGCTACAGCTTGCTGAACGGTTCCCACAGCTCTGCCCAGGACTCAGGACACTAAGGATATGTCGCCAACCCCAGCTCCGCCACTTACCAGCTGTGTGACCTTGGGCGAATGACACAAGCTCGCGGTGCCTCACCGTCCTCATCTCTAAAAGGCGTTACTATCGGCAAAGATTTGCCAACAGGGCCTGGCAGGCTCTCAGCATTATATTAGAGTATTCTTATCATTACTGGGAGACAGGGCTCCTTGAGGCCCAGCTTTATATTTTTATTTATTCTTGTAACTCTGGCTCCTGGCACAAGGGCCAAACACAAAGTCATGTGCTCAGCGAGAAAACCACTGACTAAGGCACTCTGAGTGAGTAAAACAAAGACTGTCGCCTTAAAAACACAACATGTTCGGAAAGATATTCTTAATATCAAAAAAGAAAGCGAGCTAAACCTGAGTGTTGTAAACCGTCACAAGCTGTACTGCGGCTGTTTGTGCTCTGGGCCCGCCCAGTCCCACCTTCGCTAGGAACTCAAATGCAAGGGTGCCCTGCTCAGGGGCTGGCCCCACGCTTCGGCTGGTATGGCTCAGAAAGCTAACGCAGGCCCACTGGAGTCCTTTCTTGGAAGTCTGGAACTAAGTAGACAGAAGTCTGAGGCAGGCGGTGACAGGGGACCCCCAGAGGCAGTGGGCTGGAAAGCCTTGCTGTGAGCCACATGCATGGGGGAACGGAAGCACTGAGAGAGTTCTGGGTGGCCCATACTCTCAAAACGTACACCTCTGATTCTAGAAACTTATTCTAGAAAAAAAAATCCAAAGCTAGGCACCGAGGTGTCTGTGCTAGGATGTCTGGCATGGCTCTGTTTAAAGCAGAAAAATGGCAGACTTGGTAAATGTTCAATAGCGGAGGCTGGTTGACAGATCGCGGCACCTGACAACGGAATATTACGCAGCCAGCAAAGGCACACTGCAGGCAATTCATGTTATGGGAAATGTTTTTGGCTCATCGTGTGAAAAAAAAAATCAGCTTGAATGGAAACTTAAACAAAAAAGCACAGGGGAGAGACTAGGAGAATATACCTGTTTATCTTGGTGATAAGACTTCAGGTGGTTTGGATTTTGTTCTTTTTGCTTGTCTATATTTTCCAAATCTTCTAGAATATATATATTACTTTTATAATTAGAAGAACAAAGAAGAAGAGAGCTTGCCCAACCTTTGCTATGTCATTTCCCAGCTGGTTTTGTGCTTTTCCTTCTCCAATTAAAAGTCCTTTCTGAATTGCATTCTTAATTCTGAAGAGCAGATGAGCAAACTTTCCCCCCAAACTCGACTACAGTGTGCTGCTGAAGGGAGGGACGTTAAGCACAGAGGGCAGCCTGAGGTCCACGGTCACGAAGCAGAGCGGAACCGCCATCCTGACTGTGGTTCTGCAGCCACAGCCAGGTGGGCGGGGTCAGGCCCAGAGTCAGTCACAGGAGCAGAACACAGCGCAGGTGCCAGATCAGTAGGTGTGATCAGGAGGAAGGAGGGCATGAAAGGGATGTGGGACAGTGAAACGGTGGCAGCAGTCACGGGAGGTGCCAGTGAGGACGAAGAACTGTTGGGGTTTGGGTGCGTGAGCACGTGAGCTGCATGGGCAGGGGGACGGAGTCCGCGGCAGTGCGTCCCCCATGCGTGAGAGCGAGGGATGGGATGGGAGCGTGGGGACCACAGGCAGGAGGGCACAGTGCCTGGGACACTCGGCTCAAACTGCTGCGAGATCAGGACAGCCCTTTGGACAGAGATTAAAATATAAAACCCCCACGAGTCCAGATAAAGCCTCAGGAGACCCAGGGGAAGCCTCCCTCAGTGTCCCCGGAGGACCAACGGACAGCCACCTGGGACTCCTCTCCGCGTCCTACACAGGAGCCAGGCCAGCCACACTCCCCCGAACATGCCGCTCCGTGGAAGGTGCTGGAAGAGTGGCGAACGCCAGCTCCCCTCCGACCCTTAGTTTAACTTCCACTCAAAGCAGGCAACAGAGCCCTGGACTGGGGTCTAAGGACACATGGCCGACACGGAAACCCACGGAGCGGCCGCCGAGCTCCACCTGCTCCTAACATGAGCCCTGCGGCCTCGGGGGCCTCCGTGAGGATGGCGGAACGAAGCCAGTGCTTCTGCGGGGTGGTGGGGGGGCGGGTTCCGCGGCTCTAAAGCCGGAGCACTGCAAAAGAAGGGAGCACTACCGTTTTCTTCATGGTTAGAAGACGGACGTGTTGGCCTGACAAATGAGCAGCTCGGCCAGCCTTGAAGGTTTGGTCAGAGCTGAGAGTCTCAGCTGCACGAAGCAGCAGCCACTGCTTTATTGTACTCTGCAGGGTATGCGTGTCTCTATTTTGCAAGACAAACGCCACCCCAGAGAAGGATTTCTGTGCTACCCACTAGCTGGGGGCTTTCCGAAGCATCATCTCATTTCATGCTTATTAAACCTCAGGAAGTAGGTATTCTGGCCCCATTTCCAGGTGAGGAACTGGAGGCTTAGCGAAGCTTCTGAGTCCCCCACCCAGGTCACACAGCTAGTAAGTGGCAGAGCTGGTCCTGGTCCCCAGGTCTCTCTGATCACGTTTGAAAAGGGGGCGGGGGATTGTACCTAGGAATTCTAATAATGTAGCTTCTGAAAGAGTACTGTGCTTGTTAGAAAAGTAAGGTTTCGCTAATCACAAAGTCTGAGCATATAAATATCTATCTTTCTTCATTGAAAAAAGATGCATGGGCATCTACTATGTGCCAGGGGCCGCTCCAGGCATCTGGGGTAGAGCAGTGACCAAAAGAGGCAGAACCCCTGCCTCCTTGGAGGGCGCAGTGACATTGTAATTATACGTGAATACAAAAAAGAGAATTCTCACCTTTCTGAGGTAGTTTAGGGAGGACTCGTGGGCCAAGGGCAGTCTTCGCAGAGCCGGTGCTGAACAACAAGACAGAATCGTTTAAGGGTCTCAAATTGCTGTAACGCCAGTAGCGAGAGATTATTCAAGGAAATCATAGGTGTTTACAGAATTCTCTAAAAACCCTTTCAAAATTTCTTTAGCAAAAGGTTACAGTCTGTTTCCCATAACTCAAAGTGTGCCTGGCTGGGGAAGAACCAGGAAAGGGTGTTTCTCAATGATAAAGCTTAAGTCCTCCTCTTGGAAGCTTTTCCCTGGGGTGATAATGTTGATGAAAACCCTTGGCACAGCAGGTCATCAGGAGAGTCGCACAGAAGGGCAACTCCACGATGTAACTCTCACTGTCCCATTCTCAAAGAAGCTGAAGTGCGTGGAGCTTCGGGGACCGGCCGGTCAGTGGTGGGAACAGTGGCCCAAACCCAGACCCCGACGTCCCTCACCGTGCCCAGGCAAACAGCTTGGGCCTCGGGCCTCCATGTGCCCAAGCGTTTCCTCCTCCTGGAGGACGGGTAAATGAGCAAGGAAGAACGCCCGGGTCCCGGAGCAGAGTCCGCCCCACGTCTGAATAGTCAAATGTTAACCCCCCACCCCTGCCACCACTGAGATGCCACGGCTGCAGGTGACCCATTATTTTCCTTTAACGAAGGCTACGGTAATTCTCAGAGGACACAGCGGCACTGCAGACCCAACCGCAGCAGCAGCCAAGGGCCTGAGTCGCACCTGCCAAAATCCCGCTTTCGTACCTCACCTCTCTCCTTGTCCTTTGATGTCCTAAGAACTGGCTTTTCCCCTGCTTCTACCCTCATTGCATTGAAAAAGAACAGGAAAAGCCACAGGAGCCAAACAAAGACTGAGTCACAGAGAGAGACATGCGCGTTTCCTTCGGTCCGGCCCTGAATCGCCCTTGCTCCTAGGGGTTCCCTCCTCAGCTCCTGTGAAATCCCACCGCCTCTGGGCCAGGGGAGGACGCCGTGTTGAGATGAACCGCCGGGAAACTGGAAACAGTAAGCCCAGGGGCTTCCGCTCTGAACATTTCTGGGGTGTTTTCCTCATGTCCTGCCTCAGCCTCCTCTCAGGGAACACGGCTGCCAATCACGGATGTGAGCACGGTGTTGTTCCTGAGCAAGTGACTGAGGCCTGGAGGTTCGCAAACGCCTTGCGGAGGCCTGGGGTCTACACTGCACGTGTGCGCGTGCACGCGCACACACGGGGGGCTCGATCTCACTGGAAAAAAATTTTTTGTGGGCGCTCTCTCCGTGTCAGTTTGAGTGCCCAGAGCAGGGCTGGAGAGGACTGCGTGGGAATGAAAGGCAGGGCACCAGGGAGCCCCTGAGATGAGGAGCCTGGAGAAGCCCGGGTTTGAGTCCAGCTCTGAGATCTGCCAGCATTTAGTCTCTGGGGGCCCAGTGTCCTCATCCATAAAACTGAGAATAATATGGGGCCTACCACACCACGGGGCTGTAGAGACCAAGTAAGATAGCAGCATTAAAGAAATGAGGATTTAAAAAACATCTTTGCTAAACTCTGGAAAGCAATGCCCACATGCCAGCTGACTTTCTACCTAAGGTCTTGGGTCCAGAAGCGGCGCTTTGTGTCCTTATCTAGGATCCCAACTCTCGAGAACATCCTTCACATTGGGACTGGATAAGACGTTGCCCACGGAACATGTTCCAAAGCGTCCTGTTTCCATGAAGGGCAGGAAGAAAGGAACGCTGCCTCTAGCCCAGCCGGAAAAAATCTTACAAACAGAGAACTTGGAAAGAGTCACATTTTATGTTTGAAAATCTCTGGGCTCTTTGGGTTTCCCAGAGGACTAGCTTTTGATTCAAGATGGAGTCAAGATGGACAGTCAGACTTACCTTGACTGCTGAGACAGTCCCTCGAACTTGTTGGCGGTCTTACTTGATGACGATGGACCCACATCGTTACCTACAGGAGAAATCGAAGGTAAGAGGTTGCATCTTCAGGCAGGGAACTGGGGATATGGGCTTGGCAGACAGGCACCCCTCAGGTTCCAGGGAGGAATTTAAAAGACTCAAGCCAGAACAGCGTGCATCGATTCACCCAGAGGTCCCCACACCAGGAGGCTACCCTCTGGGAACCAGACCCAGAAGAGACACCCCACCCCGCCACAAGCTGTGTGTGCGTTCAGTCGGGTGGCACTGGCCGCCTGCTGGGCACGGCCCTCGGCCACTTACTCACGCGTCACTCATTCAAACACTAACAGCTATTAAACACCTACTGTGTGCGAGGTATGGACGAGGAGCGGGAGGCACGGAAACACAAAATGTCACTGCTCTCGCAGAGTTTCTGGTGTGGCCTAAGAAATGTGCCTGTGTGAACTATGCTGTCACGTGACAAGATGGATGCTGAACAGCACTGGGTGCCCTGCCAGGAAAGTGTGCCCCAAACCCACCTGGCCAGAGGGGCAGGGAAAGTCCCCTCTGGGGGACATGGCACCTGAGCAGTGCAGCGCTCTCTCTCGGGGAAGCAGCAGAACCAGACATGCGTGCTTCGTCCGGGAGGTGGAGGACTGGCTAGCATAAACGTGGGCTCCTCTGTGACCCCTCCACGGCGAGAGGAGGACAGGGCAGTCCTGGGGACAAGTTGCCCGGCACCCGGGGGAATCCCCTGGGACCTGCAGCTGTCGCTGGGGCTCCCGTCCACTTCCTTGCTGCCCTTCCCATGAATGCTCTGAACCAAGTGTCCTCCTCTGGCAGACCCCTTCCCTCTGCTGCCTGGACACCCATGACACGTCGCGGGTGGCACTGGGAAGGGACAGGCTGGGAGGCTCAGAAACAGGACAGGGCTCCATGGCACCCGACCGTTGCCCTAATGTTTTCCTCAGGTGTTACCCTCAAATGAGGTCACATGAACGAATGGCTGTAGGTCACATGCTTAGATGATGCACCTAGAAGTCCTGCCCACAAGTCTCTGTGCTTTTCAGGACGGCCCCCCAAAAATCGTTAACGATGGCAACTACCGTTTATCGAGTACTTACTGTAAGGTGCTGTGCTAAGTACCTCACAGCAATTACGTTTTATGAGATACATGATATCGTCATCCTCTGTTTCACATGGGAAGAAACACACTGGGAAGCCTGAGGTCAAACAGCTGGGAAGGCTCTGAGCTGGGACACAAAGCTGAGCAGCCTGCAGTGAGGGTCTGTGCCAAACGACCCCAGCCTGTCACCTCCTGTCCCACGGAGCCCACTGGATAGGGAGAGACTGGCAGAGAGCTAGGATGGCTCGGACAGGCTCCCGGACAGAACGTCCTGTGACACTGACTTGAGAAGGGACAAGCTAACCTGGCTTTATCAGGGCCAAGGACTTCCAAATACAGCTTGACCTTAGTAAGACACTTTCAAATCCTCAATGTGTTCCCAAGGGCCTGTGACTCAGTGCCCGACTTCTTCGGCAGCCGCTCACGAAACCCCCAGAGCTGGGGTTTCTTAAAGGTGGGCGTTTCCTCTCAGCTCGGTACTCAGTGCGTGCCTCCAGGATGGACACCAAATCTCAAACTTTCAGGCTTAAATGAGCCAGAATAATCAAAATGTCAAAGGAAGTACATTCGGGGAAGAAGCCGGTACATCTGTGAGTTTCCCTTCCAGGCAGGAAGCATTCCGAACCAGTGATTCTTAACCTCGCTACGTGTGGGACCGTCAGGGCTGCTAACTGGCCCCTGGCTCTGCGTGTGGCCGCTCCCTCTGCTGTCACACAGATGAGCCATCCTGCCATGGGCCGTGGCCTGACACGTGCCCCAATGTCCAGCGCCCTCATTTAATCGCCTTCTCTGGCCACACGAGACTACTCTCCACCTTCCAAAGACACTGCGTGTCTTTTATGCCTCTGTCACTCGCTCCTTCTGCTCCTCCTCCCTGCACTTCTGGTGAATTCCTACGCACCTCCCAAGTCAATTTCCGAGAATTCCTCCTTAGCCAGACTCGACCGCCCTCTCCCCTTCTTCTGTGCCCACAACCACCGATCACAGAGCGATGGCTCAGAGTGCAGATTCTGGAGCCAGACGGGCATGGCGTGGATTTCCAGCCGCCCCACTAACCAGTGGGTATGAGTCTGGAGTACGCGGCTTTTTCTACAGAGCCCCAGTTTCCTCATCTATAGAATGGGAACGACAGTACCTACTCCACTTGACAGGTGTGAGGACTACGAGATGAACTCTGGAGTACGGAGCACAGTGCTGGACCACAGGGAGCACAGCACGAGTGGTAATTAGTATCTCTCATAGCTGTTTGAGGGAATGTAACAGAAATGATGATGATTTACTCAATAAGTGAGCATCTCAAAGACAGGGACTCCGCCTTGTTCCCCCTGCAACCCCACCTTCTAGTCTAGTGCCCAGACCGGAGCAGTTCCTAGGTGCCTGGAGACAGGACAACGCTGACTCAGCCGCTCTTTGCCTTCAGCTGGATCCCTCACACACTTGGGTGGGTAGCACCTGTGGACCGGCAGATAAGAATCCTGTCATGCTCACAGCTAGGCAAGGGCCACCTGCCATGCCTGAGAAGAAAAGTGTGGTTTAGAAAAATTTCTGAGAATGACATTGGAGGGAGGAGCAAAAATATGGAAGCAGCTCGACCCTTTTTTTTTCCTCTGTGCAATTTAGAAAAAGACTCCAGTATCACATACAGATGTGTAAGAGGAGCTGAAGCGGGCGGGCAATTGAAAAAATTGTGGCCAAGACTTGAGGCCAGTTACTATAGCTCAGAAGCTGGGGGCCAAGAATTTGTGGAAAGACAGGCGGGCACTGGCCCAGCAGTGACTGGCACAGCGTCTCCAGGAATCTTCCAGAATAGTTGGTAATCATATGAGCCTCAGAGTCAGAAATGGGTTCAAATACCAGCTCTTAAGTGCCTGGATTTGTGACTGATTCAAGTTGTTTGACTTCTCCATGCTTTAATCTCCTTACCAGTAAACGAGGGACAGTGACAGTCGCCATCGTATAAGGTGGCAGTGATGTCTAAACAGGACAACACATGAGCAAGCGAACAGCACCTGGTATCTGGCAAATGATCGAGCAGCGGCGGCAGCCACTATTATTTCTAGGACTTCATGCAAAATGGGGTGGGGGGAGCAGACGTGAAATTACACCGGGAAATACAAGAAAAAGGAAGATTAAGGAAATTTCTAACCAAAGGCTCCTATGCAAGCCAATACTACTTCCAATTAGAAGCTCGTGTAATGTTAAGTCCCAGTGGCCAGAGATGTGATTTTCACAGGTCACTGAGCTGGGCACGGGTAGAACCCGGACCAGAACCCGGGCTTCTGGAATGAGCTCGGGGCACGTTCCAGTCTCCCATGGCGTGGGCTGTGGACACTTCTCTGAATCTCTGCCAGAGGATCGAAGTCCCGGGGGAACTGCTCTCGTGTATTAATTACAAGACTGTCAAGCGTGAGGGGAGGATTAGCTTTATGGCCACCAAGAACCGATAATTAGCTGTGCTTTCTCCTTTGCTTCTACCTGTAAGAACCCCACTGTCAAACCTGGGGCCCCTTTTCAGCCGCCCTGCGTAATTTTATGTTGCACATTTTGTGAAGAGATCACACTGTTGGACGTCATCTTACTCTGCTACCTACATCCTCCCTCTGCCCTCATTTCCTCGTTAGCTTTATTTAAATCATGTTAAAATGTGTGGGTCTTTTAAAAGTAGGTTATAAGCAAATTATTTCATCCCCAAAGGTGAGATTTAATGACATGCCACTTCAAAAATCAAAGTCCCCACAAAACCCAGATCTGCCCACAGGCCTATTTGTTTTCTGATCAAAAGCCTGCCTTCGCCGTCTCCTGAGACAGATGGCTGCATTCATCACAGGAGCGGGACTTCTGTCATGTGATGCCTGGGCTATTTTGGGTGCTGTGGACGCTGCGGTTCTGGCAGGCAGAAAGCGCGGAGCGGCCATCCTGCACGCCAGGGTGCCGTGCCGCCGATGGGCGAGGGGGCACAGCGGATGCAGTGAGCACCCTCTGGGCTGCCTTCCCATGCCCTCCTCACAGGCAGAGAAACAACTCTGGGATAGAAAATGGCCAACGGCATCACGTGCTGCGCCCAGCAGGGCACGGACGGGAGGCAGTACACCGGCTCCCCACTACCGTCTGGGAGAGGCCGGGCAGGCGACTTCACCTTTCTGAGGCTGTACCCTTAATTAAAGTCAAGTCCCAGTATTTCCCACCCTGTGGAACTGCGTTAAGAATTACGTAGGTGCTATTAACCAGCCCATTTTACAGTTGGATAAACTGAGGTATGGAACAACTCGAAAACACCTGCTCAAAGTCACAGGGCTCCCAAGTGGCAGAGCTGGATTAGAATCCAGGCGTGACGTGGGGTCCACAGTGGAGCACTCTGCTCTATGGAGACAGAAGCTGCACAGACCCTGGTGAGGATGTCGCAATGCGCTGGGAAAGTCAGAGAGACACAGAAGCACGGTGACAGTCCAGGGCCAGAGGGAACAACAGTGGGGGAGGGGTGATGGCTGGACAGGGCAAGGCCTTTTAGCAGGCTCTTGGAGAGCAGATCTGCAACAATGACTAAGGATTAAGGCAAATGAGTAGAATGCTCTAGGCTGAGGTCATGCTATGAACAAAGGCTCCGATCTTAGGGGAAAGAATGTAGTTTGGGAACCTGGTGCACCTCGATGTGACAGGCACATCCCATTTCAGGGGTCGGCAGGTGAGGCCTGGGGAGAGCTAAGAGGCCATGCCCGGACCGCCTCTCATGTCCAGCCCTGGGCCTGATCTTAGACAGTCCGAAGGCCCTCACTGCAAGGCGGTTTAGGGAACCCTGGAGGCTGGCGAGATGGGTTCACGGGGGGAGGCGATGGGCATCACACATGCTGCCGTGGAGGTGGACACCCCACGTGCTTCATTCATAAGTAGTCTGGCCCCCACCCCTGGCGTCTGGAACACAGCGTCAGCGGGAGACGGAGATAAAACCATGCAGTGATCATGCGACAGAAAGCTCGAGACCAGGACGAGAGGACTTCAACCTGCCCGAGAAGAAGCCCGCCGTGGGCACGCACGTGCCTGCCGCCGACCTGTGTCTGTGGATGCTTTACGTGCACCTCACACGTGTGCACACCCCAACACAGAAGGCACGGCCCTGGTACTCCCAGAATTACCGCCTAGCCTGTGACGTGGACAATTGTCACTTTTGGTGGGAATAGATTTTGATTTCTGTCCCTCAAGGCTGGGTGTACGTGGGAGGCTCCAGCTGGTGAGAGGCCAGCAGACGGCCCTGTGCCCACAGCTTCAAGAGCCTTGCATGCTCCCAGCTCACTGGTGGCACTGACTCACTCTCACAAAAAGTAGTAATTTTGATTTTTAGTAAAAAAAATGCTCCATTAACAAAAAAACCAAAAACCAAATCAATCAAACCAAAAAACGCCAGCTGCTAGTCCTATTGCTGAGATGTGACAGAAATCTAAGTGAGGGATGATTCTTAAGTCAGAAAACAGAATTTTGGTGAATTTAGTTGTAGAGTTTCTAAGGTGAATGTATAGGCACTCGAAACTTTACACGGAAATAAGACCCAATTAAACTAGAGGATTGAAATTTAGTGGAACGTGAAAAGGTCACCCTGTGGTCTGTGCTCTGAGCCTGCACAGGAAACTTGTGACCATCGATGCACTGTCAGTTGAGGGAAAGTCCCTTTGGATGAAATCTGGGGCCTCCTGAAGTCCTGGAACACAGCCTGTGCAAGGTGTCAGGACCTACTGGCTGCCGTGTGCCATGTCCCCAACTGCCCCTCCCTTGCTCCTCTCGCCTGGGAACCGACTCATTAACACCCACCGCAAACATCTCCCTCTCTGCGAAGCCGCTTCATGCAGTCTGACGCTCTATTTTTCAGCATTTCCAAAGTGTCTGGTTAACGTGTCAACCCTCACAGTGAAGAACATTCACTCGGCTGCTTCCCCGTCTGCCTCCCTCACGAGCCCATGAGCTCCTGCGGTATATGGGCCGAAAAGCCCCATCAATAGGCACATAGGATGCTGAGTGAAGGCTAAACACACTGACGTATTCGCACACACACTATGGCATCTGGGCCAGGTGACAGAGAGGTATGCCAATCAGTATGGCTTTTCCCCCAAACTCCAAAAATTCAGAACACCTGATATGGGCATTTGATGAGGCCTTTAAAAGCATTTGGCCGATTTACCTATCGGTTATGATTCAAAAACAAACAAATAAAAAAATTCACACTGAAACTCACTAAAAGGAGGCGACACGTGCAACCTAGCCTGCTCATCCAGCAAAGGCCTGCGAGCCCCTTGTGGACCAGGGCCCTGCTGGGCGCTGGAGAGACACCTGTTCTTGACTTAAATTGTTGACAGACCAGTGAGGAGTTCTGGTGAACCAGGAAGGTAGACGAAGATGGAAATCATGTTCCTTGTGGATGGAAATCTGTGATCTGTACTCAGTGTCACTCAAGTGGTTCAACTAACTAACTCTGTGCAAGTTTATTTCTTCTCAGGTGATGACTGAACACCTGCTGTGCACCGCTGGATTCTAAGCCCTGTGGACACAGGAGAGAACGAGACAGACGCGGTCCCTGCTCTCTGGGAGCTTAGAGAGACCAAAAAAACCAAACACTAAATACTTCTCAACTGAGAAGGAGTTCTGGAGGAAATGGGCGAGGACGTGCCTTTCGGGAGGCCGGCGAGGAGATGCACGTGCAAGCTGAGCAGGACGAAAGGCGGCCAGCCTCTCCCAGGGCAGAGCTGAAGGGACGGGATGGCCCCAGAGGGCAAGAGCCCTGTGCACCCAAGAAGTACGAGGGGGCTCGTGTGGCAGTAAAGGGGCTGGGAGGGAGGAGCCGGCCCAGGCAGGGCGCTCTCGGTCCAGGGTCAGCAGTCTGCAGTTATCTGAAGTGTAGGGTGAAGTGATTACGTGTATTTTATCTTTTAAGAAGATCGTTCTGGTTGTTATGAGTGGAATGAATTGCTTTGCTTTTCCTCATCTGTCAGTGAGGCTGACACTATCTCACAGAGTCGCTACTGTGATGCAATGAGATTTTGTGGAAGGCTGATTAGCACAGTGTCTGATACATAGGAGATGCTCAGTGCCTTATTATTATTAGTTTTTAAATGGTCCTAAATCTTTTCCCAAATGTCTCCTGGCCTTAAGAGGCAGTCCAGTCAGACTCATGCGTACTCCAGCGTGGGTGCGGTCTGGTCCGTCTGCTGAATGTGCCAAGTGTCCGCTGCCCGCTGAGCCCCACGCACTGCCTGGCCCTGGGCAGCGATGGCCCTGACTTGAGGATGACTTACCCCAAGGAACTGCGCCTTTGTTTGGGGGCCCGTGAGGTAGTGGGCTGGGAGGGTCAGACAGGGCTCTCTTGTGTCCGGGTGGTGGGGGAGGTGGCCTCTTCTTGGACAGGGTGGAGCTGCCACTAGAGGTCTGGGTGCTTAGAGGGAGTGTTGAAGGTGGGCCAGTTGGACCTGGAAAGGAATTGAACGGGGCAGGAAGGTTAATCCCAGTCTCACAGAACAGCCGGTATGCAGTCACTGCCGCACCAGAGCTGGTACGGTACACAGGGACAGAAGCACAAGGCTGGAGGTGGCCAACGCCATCAACGCGGTAACTCACAAACGGGGTTAGAAGAATGCTCTTTACAGAAAAATACAACAGACAAGAGTATGTGCTTTTAAGGAACAAAATGCCAGTCAACATGGCATGCTAATGCATTTAGGTCATTCGGGCACAACGGGAAAAATAAAGCACGCACACTTTAAACCAGTTAGTCACTGGAATCATGGTAAAATCTACTGAGGGAGAAGGCACACAACACAGCCACCAAAATCAATGGAGAAAGAGCAGAGCACAGGCTGAAGCCTCAATGGGCCACAGGCTGAAACATCAATGTTCACAGAACAGGATTTTTCTTTCCGCTACGACTTTTTCTTGTAGTCAGCAAACTTTGCCTGACGGTTTCATTTTCGAAAAAATGATTATAAATAATAAAGGATCTAATGTACAGAGTTACTTAGAAAAAAGAGAAATCCCAAAACTCTTTTTTCCTCTAATTCTGAATTATTCTAGAAATCATAAACCACCTATATAATGAAAGCCTGAACAAGTTGTATAAATTAGACACTGATTTCTGTAGATTTAAAAAAAAGACTCGACTTTCTCCAGACGTAAAGACAGGATAGCAGTAATCCTATTAACATTATCACACACACGCGCACACACACACAAACTGTTTCTGTAAAAGTTTTGACTTCTTTGAACTGATGTTTTAAGAAAAAAAAAGGATTTGTTTTCAAGAGCTGTTACAAGAGGAGTATACATGTTACTAGTTTTGTTTATGCAAAGTGACGCTAAGGTGGCTGGTGTGTACTAGGATCTATATACTGGGCACTTTGATGAATATCTCCTTATGGTTATCACCAAAGTACATGTTCCGTGTTCCTGGACAACTGCTTCCACAAGCATTAAAAGAATGTTTTTTTTTTTTTAAAAAAGGAAAGCAGCAAAAAAAAAAAAAAAAGCTAAAAACACTGCCACACCAAATGTTTAACACAGGACGGTAGGTACCTGATGACGCGGAAAGGCTCCAAAAGAGCTTTTTACATTCTGCGTATTGAAAGAAAAGCTTGATTACTGCTGGCTTCCTTTCTTGGTGAAGTAAGCGTTAATATTCCCCATTATCAATTACTGGTCAATCTCAGTAAAATCATCATCTGCTTTAGGATTAAGTGGCCCTGGCTATATACTTTATTCTCTCAGTCCTATGATGGGACACATGATGGAAGCCTTACCATTGCCCCAAATCAACACCTAATTATGGCACCAGCCACTGCAATTTCAGAAACTATTTTATTTTTGTAACAATAAAATCACCTTAGCACTTGGATAGTGCTTTGCAGTTTTCCAAAGCAGTGTGTCTGCATATGCTATTCCCCTTGATTTTTCGTAACCACCCCAGCAGGTATGTGGGTTGGTAGTTACGAGCCCCATTTTGCAGCCAGGAAAGTGGGGGCTTGGCGTGACTAAGGTTACACAGCCACAAGGGGCGGAGCCAGGACAGCAATGCAGGTTTTTGGGACAGGGAGGCGCTCACCCCATCACACGCTGCTGCTGTTCCTGAAAGCCAGGGCAGTATTTCCCGCACTTAGCACCCTAGAAAAACCACCACTGATGCTCCGTATTAGGAAGTGGAACTTTCCTCTTGGAAATAAATGGAGAATGGATGATAGACAATGATGAGCTTCTCCAGCAAGTTCACCTTTACCGCCACCTAGTGACTTGCTGAGGCACTGCATCTGAAAGGTCATTCAACCCGTTCCAAACCCCGCCTGGAAACAAAACCCGCCAAAGACAGAAGGCTCGGAGCTGTGTCTCTGGGCAAAGCTGTGTGTGGATGCAGCTTCAGGAAGGATCAGAACAGAGACGTCCTGTAACCACAAACCAGGCACAACCAAGCCTCTTGAGTCATCACTTCAAAAAATGAAGGGATTAGAGTTCCACGTGTCATTACATACTTTCTTCATATCAGCTATTACAACCTGTAATTACTTCCCTTTATGTGCATATTGCCTGTCTCCCTCACCAGGCTGTGGGTTCTGTCAGGCTAGGCTGGTCTCTGGCCTGGTGTATATCATAGTAGGTTGAATTGAGTAATTTAATATTAAAGAAATGGATGAATAAACTGCTACTTCTATTGTTTTAAGGCTAGTGATTCTTAAGGAAGACACTGTATCTCACTTAGGATGACTGATCAAAAACCAGGGGCAGAGAGGAAAAATAGGGAGGGACAGTGTCAAGTTTGAAAAGGAACATTTAAAATTTAATCTAATTTCATAGAGAACACACACACAGAGCCACCTACTGCTTTGTAATAGAAGCGACAGAAAGGAAGATGCCACAAAATCGTCTTCGCCTGTCGGGCACGAGTCAAAACAGGCTGAAGGACAAACACTGCATTAGACTGCAGGAAAGCAGACCCAAATATTTTTAAGAGTCAAAGAGCTCAGAAGACTTCCAAAATGAGTAACTATCTCTAAGCACTAAAGGGGATATTTTATTTAAAATAAATCTGAGTACTGGCTCAGATGGGAAAGAAGCAATTACGGCAGGATAAGGAAAGCTAAAACAAAATGAAATAAAAAAGAACAAACGGTATCAAACAAACTCAAAAAGGAGTGAAAGGCAAGATGAACAGGCGGGGAGAAGCCTTCAAAGAGCCAATTTTCTCCCCTTAACTCTGCCAGGGCCTGTGGAAATAAGCAGAAAACGCCCCAAACCACATTTGCCACTAATATTGGCTATTATGTCAAATTATCTTCTAATTCTTTTCCTTAAAAGTATGGGTCTGGTCTTCCAAAGCGGCTATAAATAACACTGAGGTTCATTAAACTGATCGAAGGTCCTCGCTCAGCAGACTGTACCTCAGCTCTTCCCAAGGGTTCGCAGGCCTGGGCGCTGTCTGCATCTCCAACAGCGGCCTCTTGGTCACTCCATCTGGACAGTCTGCCACGCCTTCGACTCTCATGGTCCCCACTGAACCCCTCGAGCTGTGCTGCCACGAGCGCCTTAATGTCATCATCTCCAGAGTGGCCCCGGCCTGTGGCCAGAGCTCGGGGAGCCCGGGTGCCTGAGGACACTGCACCTCAGAGGCCTCTGCCCGCAAGGCAGCCCCGGGCAGCTGCAGGCAGAGGCCTGGTCCCCACTTCCCGGCCCCCCTATTTAGACTCCTAAAAGCCTGCAGCTACTTCCGGAGGCCCCCGCAGGCCTGGCGTTCCCTCTGTCACTAGAGCCCCGATGGGAAAACACTACAGTCCTGGACTACAGAGGGAGTTTGAGGAAAACCTCACCAGAGAGGACTCCATCTTCAACGACCAGGAAAATCTACCCTCAGACGGCCGGGAGAATCCTTCACCTACAGCGAAATACAGGGATCAAAAAAGCCCATCCCTAAAGTCACAGTCGCACGCTTCCTGCTCAGCCTCCTCCTCCGTTTCCTGGACTCCCCAGAGCCGCCGCTCCCTGGGAGTATGGTGTGCCCGACCTGACACTCAGGGCATTCATACCCTTACCTAGAACTCGCCTTATAAAGGCATATTGTGATCAGGGGCATTTATTTTAGGGTGAAGAGACTCAAGGCTCAGGGAGCTGAGGACACTGACCAGTCACAGCGAGTGACTCCGACTGTGACAGCAGGCTCTCAGCCTTGACAGGAAGCACTCTGCTTCTCTTCCTGTGGGTGGCACCGTGTCCTCCCTGCTTGGGAACTCGAAAAGCCTGTCCCCTCACCTCCTCCGCAGAAGGGTCAGCTCAAAGCAACCTCAGCCCGAGGTCCCTCCCACACACCCTCTTGGCCCTGGGCCCCGCTTCCTCCTGAGCGTCAGGGGGCCGAACAGCGCCTCTGCCTGGCCTCAGTGCCGTGCTCTGCCTTCCTTCCTGAGGGAGTAATTCCAAGACGCCGCTGTTGGAGATGCAGACAGCAAGTATTGGGGATTCTTTTTCAATGTTCCCACATTTTTGGTTCTTAGAAGAACGGAAAACTCGTTGGTTTTCCATGCTGGGAGACCAAATAAAAGTACATCTTTGACACGGCAAAGAAAAAAGCAAGACCCAGAAGATGGCTTTAAAATTATTCTGATGATCTTTGAAAACAACCGTCTGTATGATTTCTATATTCTACCACGCCATGCGTGTTAATGACGTAAGTTATAGTTATGTAACTGGACAACACAAATGAAAACTTTACCATATTTCTAATGGTTTTCGTAGCATAGAGCTTGAAAGAGTGGAAGGTTTACGTTACTTTAAAAAGTAGATAAAGATACACTATGCTGATTTGAGTGAGGAATGTGTGTACAGGAAGGAGCTATTATCACCTCCACAGCCAGGTGGGGAAACACGGAGGCATCGCGACATGGCGTGGAGTGTGATGGATGCCACGAGAGTCAGCAGCACGGCCCATGAGGACTCCGACATGGTGCCACACACAACGCAGCATTAGTTACTCATTTGTCCTTCAAGCTCCTTCCAGGACGCTGAAGACTAAGAGAACGAGATTCAGGGGCTCGGGGCTGGCTCTGTGACAACCCCGCCACGTCCTCGTCTTGCTGCAAGAAGCCACAGGGACGTCTGCTTCCCTTTCTGCACCCTATAAGTTTCGAGCCTGGGCCAGCAGCCACTGTGAGGGCAAAACTCAGCCACAGTCTTGGCCAAGGCCAAGATGCGCAATGATGTAAAAAGGGTCGGGGGAGACTGATAAAAACAGGCCAGAAAAAAAAAACAAAACTGAACGTGAATAAAAACAATGGCTTATGGGAAGCTTTAAAATCAAGCCACTCAAATGACTGCTTTCCCAGGAGATAAAAAAACTCAGGAAATTGTAAAGTCATCAGTATATGAATAATACTGCGAACAGGACACCATTTCCTGGGCGAGTCTGAGTAACCCAGGAGCCCATGTTCATGATGGCCAGCGACCTTCACACCTGAGGAGTCTCCTCCCTTTTCACTCCTGGCTCTGCCCCGACGGACACAGAATGCAAGGTGGAGAAATGGTGCGGAACACGCAGACGCAACCGAGTCTGGACACAACGCTGCCCACATTCTGTAGGTATTCGGCAAGGTAACTCTCACGCCCCGGGACGGCTGGCACGAGCGCCCCCTCCTGGCTGCCCACGTACTTCTGGGACATGCGCTCACTGATCTTGCTGTTGTTTGTTCACTCAACAAGCACCGACAGGGCACCCCACCCCTGTGCCAGGGGTGCAAGGACAGCTCATTCACTGCCCCTGCGCCTGAGGAGCTCTGCCTCGTGACTGGGAGAGACTGAAACGAGATTCCGTGACCCCCCCCGCTTCTAATCTTCGAGCCGAGCAGCTCCTCTCCCTCACACCCCTAGAGCCCACCCGCGCTGCCCCGAGGGCACACGCCTCTGCCCCCTCCCACCGGAGTGCGAGCTCAGACGCAGGAGCGCTGTCCCCATGCTTCGCCACATCCCCAGTGCCCGGACGACCTGCTGAAGGGAGCATGCGCAGGAGGACCAGACAGACCCCCCATCTACTGCTTGCTCGCTGCGTGCTGTCACTTTACAGGCACTGCTTCATGTCCTGTGGGCAGGGACCCGGCAAGGTGGACAGCCAACCCTTACTTTTCAGATGAAGACCCTGAAACTCAGCGAGATGAGCGAAAATGTTAAAAAATGAGACCAGGACAGGGCTGGCAATTATGGAGGAAGGGCCCCAGTCTCGTGAGTGGGACAAGGGAGAGACGGCTTCTTGGAAGAGGAACTGAAGTCTGGCTCCCGGAGGCTCACGGCTGCCCAGGTCGCCGCGGTCTGGCTTCACCAATCGATCTGCCTTGGACAGCGTATTAGTCTCAAACTACGTTCTCTGATGAATGAGAGTATGTGGTCTCTTTGTCTAAAGTGAAGGCGACGTAGCGTCTGCTTCGGTATTCTCCATGTCACCAAGCGGCCATGCACATGCACTTACGGAGGCCTCAGGATGCCAGGCACTGTGCTGCAGCTTCTGTGCAGTCGCCTGCTGGCTGAGCAGGCTGGGGCTAGGGTCTGAACGAAGCAGGGCCCCGCACCAGAAAAATACATATCGAGTGCAGGATTAACCCCTGCAGGTATTCACGAGAGAGTCGGAGGGGCTGTAATGCCTAATTGGAGGGGACTGATTTCAGGAATTCATGGGATGGAACTATAATTAGCATATCAGTTGTTAGTGTTTCTAAAGCTTGAAAAGCTAATTCTTTTAAGTAAGTTAAACAAGCTTCTTAAGATCGAATTTATCTTTCATTTATTTAGCAAATCCCTTGCGTTAAGGAGCTGACATCATGCTGGTTTCATGATTCAAAGCACCCACTACCTTGTCAGGCGTGGGGGGCTTCTCTCGGGGCCCTATTCCCCAAAGGACTCCTTTTCAGAGCTGAGGGGGTGTGGTACCCCAGTGCCAGCAGCAGTACCTGCCATGGGGCACTTATTATGCGCCATGCGCTGAGCTAAATGCTTCCTGTCCGTCTCACTAATCTCCAGACCCAGTTCATGCATCGCTGTATAAAAGGTATGGAATTGTACCACAGGAGAAAACAGCAATTTTATAACTTAAAATGATTCAAAAAACAGTTAAATCAAAAGATAAGCATGTAATATCGGTTTCCAAGGACCTGTGCTGTGAGACGAGGCTCACGCTGCTCACCCTTCTGCCGTGCTCTAGAAGCATCTAGAGTCACAGCCTGACGACACAGAGTCTCCCACAGTAGTTCAGGGCTTTGCATTTTACAAAATGCTTTCTCCATATATTTTCCCCCCGGATTCTGACAATTCCGTAATGAAGGCAAGGCAGAGATGGACTATCGTCCTCAACATGGAGAAGAAGAAACTGGAAGGTGTGGCTGGACAAGCCTGAGGCCCGCTTTAATTTTCTGTCCTATTCCAGCCACTGTGTGACCGGAAGTAAGTTCCTTAGGCTTTCCAGGGCTCAGCTCCCTTCGCTGTATGATGGGTTGTAGAATGCGTTAATTTTTAAGCATCCTTCTCACTCTGCAGTATTCCGGTTCTACGACATAATCTTAGCTTAAAGATGAAAGACAAACCAATCCTGGCAGGCCTGGAGAACGTCTGGTCTTAATGCACGTAGAGTAGGGGCAGGGGAAGGGGCTGATCACCAGTGAGAAACCCTGCGCACTTGTATTTATGCCTCTGATTTAACCTTACTGGATCTCACGTGAGGAGGGGTTAGGCAGCAATTGTATCTGTCCACGGCTTCAGGGTGGTGAGTCTGGGGTTCTGAATTACTGAGTCTTCCAACTCTGACGGGCGGCTTTGCTTGATGACAATTTAAGTCAAACGTCCCTGCATTTTGATGAGGCAGCTGGAGTTTCTGGAAGATAGTCCTGAGCTAGATTCAGAATGATCTTTCTACTGTGCCCCTCTGTGTTCTCTTCCAATCAGCGGAAACTCTATCCTGACTGTCTCTTTCTGCCTCCCCAGAAACCATCATCCTTCAAGCCCCTGCACTCTCAGTGTGGAAATGACTTCTGTTGCAAGCAGAGACCTCTGCTTTGCTGACCACGGAAGATGAGTGACCCAAGTGACAGAGTCAAGGTACCCTTGTTTTCATGTAAGTGGGTCTATCAGTTCAACAGAATGGGATGAGCAAAATAGAGGGGAATCGTCTGCACAGGGCACCACCTGACTGTCGCAGTGTCGTCTGAGAACGCCACCCTAAACATCAGCTCTCTTCCAAAAGAAGGGCGTGTGAGGCCAGCTGGCTGCAGGGACGTCCCTGATCACTCATGAGAAGGCCGTGCTCCCTGTGTAAACAGCACGGGCCAAATCTCCAGTCTGATGGCCTGCTGAGTGTGGCCTGGAAGGACACTCTGATTTTAGGAGGGAGAGACTTCTCTTTTCAATTATGGGAATTTTTTTTTTTTGCGGGGGGAGGGGCGAAACCAGTCTATCCTTAGCTGACCGTGGCTGCGATGGCAGAGTCCTAACTACGTGTTCCAGCAGGTGGCTCACTAAGTAAATGTGGCCTTTGTCTTCTGGGCTTTTGGTAAAGAGCTAGTTAGGATTTATTCAAGGCAGGAGAGAGATGCTCAGCATTAACTTAGACGGCATGCTTTATGGGTTTCTATATCCCCTTGAGATAAAACTACAGAAAGGGGAGGAGGCAGGCCCCTCTCTTGGCCCCCAGGACTCCGGTGTCATTCTCTCCTGCAGACCTTTTTCAAGATTCTCAGTTACCTGGAGGCTCTGTGAACAGGTACAGGCTCTGTCTGTCTAGATGGGTGGTCACTGCTGTGCTGGTGGCCACGACTAGGGGATAGGAACCTTGTCAGAGTAACTTCGATCATTTAATTTGGCCTGGAGGGTTCTCGCCAGCCTCTCAGGGGGCGGAGAGGGAGGCTCTGCTCTTTCCCGATTGCCACCCTGAGGGGGGACATCGTCACACAGGTGGGCAGCAGCCCAGAGCTCTCACAGCACAGACCTGAGGTTCGATGTTACGTTAGTGATGCCAAAAGGGTTGGCTGCCTTATCCAGGTATGTTCTGGGATGATGCGTCGAACAGTGAGAAGACAGCGGCGGGTCAGACCTTGGGCTTGCACGTGTTGTTACCGTCACGGTCACTGGTTATCTGTGATGAGTACTATTTACGCCGAAGACTTAATATAAACTTTCTCTGTTTTTTGATGATCTATGAGGCCATTTGGGGTCTCTCTTAGAACACAGCTCCCATTTATGACACCATTTCAATGGAGAATAAGCTTTGAAAAAACACTGTTTTGAATAAAGCTCACATTTCCCAGAAAATAGCCCCAGTGTGATTCAAATAGGCCTGGCATTATGTACAGAGGGACCCTGGGAACCTGTGTCAGCACGGGCTGAATGCACAAGGAGAGCCCCACGTTTGGACGTGCTGGCTGAGGATAAATCCGAGGCAACAGCTCTGGGGACCTCTCAACTTCCCCCTGGCTGGGGTGACCCTTACATGTGACCTTGGATTGAATCTCAACTCTACCACTTACCGGGTACGTGACCCTGAGCAAGTCACTCTACCTCCTTAAGCCTCAGTTTCCTCATCTGTAAAATGGGCACAAAAAAAGCACACACCTGACAGGACCGCCATGAGGTTAACACAAGAGAATGCACGGGGAGCACCCACAACACTGCCCACCCTGCTGCTGGTGTCGGGCACCGCGTCCTACACTCTGCCACTCCACTGCACCTTGCAATTGTTACCTTGAAGCGGGGCAGACTCTGAGCACTGAGGCTGGAGTCCTAAGGCCCCTCTCCAAGCCCATACCTTTCCCGGCGTTTCTAGGAGGCAGAGGCGGCGCGTCCGAGGTTGGTGACGTGGGCGAGTCTGTGCTTGTGGAGACGAAGATCTGGTTGGTGAATGCGCCGTAGGAGAGCCGCTGCTTGTCCCTTGGAGTGCCGAATCCCGGCAGTGACAGCTTGTCCTGGGGGGAGATGCTGGAGGAGTGGCAGAAGCTCTGAGGTCTTGGCGAGCGCTCTTTCTTGATCGGGCTCGGCTGGCAGATGAGACAACAGACAGCGCAGTGAGTGACATAATGATCAAGACGCACAGGAATTTGGGCTCCTGTGGCTCGGAGCTTTATGAGGTCACCCGCAATGATAGCCTAAGAGCCACATACAGTACGAAGGAAGGATGCAGACACGTCACCGTTACCGTGGTCACATCGAGGCGACACTGGTTAGGTGGCATCAGCAGCACAAAGTCACAGAGTTAACTTTCAGTTGACAAGCCCCTCCCCCATGCAGGAAACACCTGAACAGCTTTTCCATGTATTTCTTACTGAGTACACTAAATGTTCCTTTCCGCTCAAGCATTTAATGCTGAAGTTCTGTCCTCATCCACACCCGTGGCTTTGACTGACACCTAATATCGACTCAAAGCTGTAGGTGCAGCACAGCCTCTTGTCAGCCCCAGTCACTGTCAATCGCCTATGAGACGCCCTTCGGGTCTGCACTCCTGGTGACAAGCTTCAGAATCCAAGCAACTTTCCAGTTAGGAACCTCGGTGTCACCCAGAGCTGCCAGGTCCTGCATGGAGAGCTCAGAAATGTTCCTCGGAGCCATTCCTAGTGAGTCTCCGGTTCCCACCGAAGCACTGGCCTCCTGAAGAGCCTGGTTCCAGTTTCTCTCAAGCCCAGCCCATGTTCCACACTGACCAGAGCTGGTAGGAAACCCCGCTTTTCTGACAGCAAGTCTCTGCTGGTTCCTGACCGCGTGGGCGGAGCTAGAAGGCCAGACTTGGCTCACAGTGCCCTTCCTGATCTGGGCCGCGGGACCCCGCAGGGCAGTTTCCTGCCTCTCACCACCCAGCCAGCTGGAAGGTGACCGCACGTACTGTGCTTCTAGTCATTCCTCAGACTTCCAGCTCTGGCAGGACCCCTGGGCCCTTGCATGTGCTCTTCTCTCTTCCTGGGAGGACATATTCTTCCCCGCCTCTTCGCCTGGCAAGCTCCTCCCTACCTGCAGAGACCCAGATCCCCCTGATAAGGTCTTCACTGCTTGGCAAGGCTGAGGCAGTTGCTCTGTCCGCTGAGCACTTCTCAGGAATTTCCCCAACTCTTATGTATCATGTTGCCCGCTGTACTATAATTAGCCTCCGCTCAGAGTGGTGGATGCCTGCGGGATACCTGTGCACGTCCGCCTTCGAGCCTTCTGTACATCCCGCTCAGAAGAGGAAACGCTCAACACGCATCCAATGGCAAATGCACACGTGAGCCTTCAGAGGTTGTTCAGAACTGTCTATGCAAGTCAGACAGAACTAGGTTTGACTCCTGAGACTTGCTTTACTAGCTCTGAGACTGAAGACGAGTTGCAGAATTTCCGCATGTGTCACTTTTCTGAAACGCAGGGGCAGTAACACGGCGCAGTGGGCACTTGGTAAAGATGTATGAGGCGACATGGGCAACGTGCCCACTGCTGCTTAGTCCATGTGCAAGTACTCAATAAACGACAACCGATTATTCATCAACTAACGGTTTTCATGGCTAATTCTGTGTCAACTTGGCCAAGCCATGGTGCCCAGGTATTTGGTCAAACACCAGTCTAGGTGTTGCTGTGAAGACAGGTGTTAGAAGTGATTAAGATTTAAATTAGATTCTGAGGAAAGCAGATTGCCCTGCATAACATGGGTGAGCCTCACCCAATTAGTTGAAGGGCTTAAGAGAAAAGACTGGGGAGGACCCCACAGAAGAAGGGACTCTGCCTCCAGGCCGCCTTCAGACAAAACTGCAGCACTGAATCTGCTGGAATTTCCAGCCTGCCGGCCTGCCCCACACATTCTGGACTTGTCGGTCCTCACATGTGTGAACCAGCTTCTTAAAATAAGTTCCATGCTTTCTCTCTATGTATACACATCCTCTTGGTTGTGATTCTCTAGAGAACCCTGACTAACACAGCTATTAAGCGGTACCTGGCAAGGAGCAAACACTTGAGGAAAGAAACGGCTCAGGTACATCAGGTCATAAGACCAAGAACACGCTCACAAAGAATGAGTCTTATGTCTACACAGTGCAGAAAAATCAGGGGAAGCACCAAGGAATTCAGAGGCCTCTTTCACACTCACTTTGTCATCAAGATCGTCGTCGCTCTCATCCATCTCCTCCTGCCGGAGGTTCCACTCATATTCTACGTGCACGTGAGGGTTGAACTTTCCAGACTTGGCCTGAGAAAGCTGAAAGTGACAGCAGGTGTAATCATTTTAATGCAAACGCCAAACACCCCAGCATTACATGAACACCGAGCAAATCCCACCTCATTCCTGGTTTCAAATTAATCACCAGCAGCTGCATTACAGCCAAAACTCTGGTAACGGAAGCTCAACTGCCACAAGACGGGCTTAAAAAAATTACAGGCGTAGCCTTGTTAACTTGATGACTTTTCTCTAAAATTTCGAGCTTTCTCAAATATTATTAAAATGAGTCTCAAAGCTGCAAATTCTTGGCTGGAAGGCAAAAATCAGTGACGTGTGAGAAGGAGGCCTTTAAAGCCAGACAATGCCAGTTCCATCCATGTCCTATTTTCCTGATTCGCTCATGGGGGAGGGGTAACCAGAACTTCCTCAACAGAGTCCTGTAAAAATATAAAAGTGCTACTGTTGGCCTGGAACTCAGCACTAAGCAGAAAGTCGAGGAGTGAACTTATCCTTCCCATCTCAGCCTTCCTCACGGTTCAGGGAACCGTGCGGAGCTGAGGGTCCGGAGTCATGAGCAGGAACCAGTGGGATCAGGAAAAGGTGAGTACGTCCAGAGGAATGGAGAGGGGAGAACACTGTGTTAACATTTTAAAAACCACTCCACTCCGACCTCTACTTGCTCGATGTTCAGAATCGGCCCCCCAAATGATTCTTCTTCACCGTTAAGCAATAGGGAAAGCCCAATGCTCTGGCAAATCAAGAGCATGACCTCCATCCAGAAGCCCGTCTGGTAATAATACCTCTCAAATGCTTTTCAGCTCCTACATCATAACGGCACTCAAAAGACAGCTGGATGACAAATTTATCATCTTATCATCTTTTTTCAAATGGAACTAAAGTGCTTGTCTGAATTTCTTCAGCCAATGTTAAAAAAAAAAAAAAAGAATCTGCTTCATTTACTTCCAATTCTAGTTTCTGGAATGACATTTTAAGGCAGCTGATGTCTAGTAAATAGTTCATTTCCATTTTTGCTTACCAAATCTTCACACTGGGTGGCTTTTAGTCTCTTCGCTATGTCGAGGGCAGTCTCTCCAGCCTGGTTAACTAAAATAAGGGGCAAATAAATTTGCATAATGATCTAGGACAGATCTTGAAAAGGCAAGGAACAATAATCAAAATAGGATGCAACATGGAAGTCTCGGCTTTTGCCAACCAAAGCTCTTACTGGAGTTATGAAGAGACCCCCTGCCATGCTCTTACCGACGTCCACAGTGGGTTTACTCCTGAGAAGCAGCTTCAGACACTCAGGTTTCCCGTACATACTACAGTAGTGGAGGGCTGTATTTCCCAGGGCTGTCTGCTTATCCAGGTTCCCACTGAAAAAATTAAGTTATTACTGGAAAAAAAATGACTACTTACTCCGTAGTTTAAAAACTACAGATTAATCACTTATTTCTGTTCTAACAAATGAGTCAAATTTCAGATCTATTTATTACAAGCAGGAAAAATTGGGATGTTCCTAACATCACAGTCTGGTTTATAAGCGATGTCATGACAGTCACAGTCAGCATTTGGTGGGTGCCTACTACAGGGGAGACACTGCCCCTCAGCTCTTCCATGTTTAGTTCATCTAATCTTCACAACCACCCGATGGGGTGGGTGCTGTGACTTTTATTTTATGAGTGAAAAGATTGAGGCACAGAGAGGATGAAGCGCTCGCTTTCAAAGCTATCGAGACGTGGACAATGGAGCAGGGGTCTGAGCACAGGCCATCTGTTCCCGCAGCCAGTGCTCTAAACCACAGCTCTGGGGAAGGGACTCGGCCACTTACACAGTTTGGCTTGTGTCCAGGCACCGTTCTTCACGTGTGGGCTCAAAACTCACTGTTTTGCTCACTCTCCTCTGGATAAGCTCCAGTTCTGCATAAGCTCTGGCTTTCGGATCCACGCAATAAAGAATCTAGCAAGTCTGAACTTCCTGCGTTTAACACTATACTATTGATATGTCCCAAATTTGAATTAGCTACTGAGCCAGCCACACAAACTGCTATCTCAGAATAAACTTACGTACAATGAAAACTCACAGACCTTGTTACCTGTGCTGTTAAGTCTCCTCTCTTTCAACCTCTCCTAGTGAAGCAGGTTTTGGACACAGGGATAGGATTTTACATAGATTGAGGCCAGAGGTTGGCAAACTATAGCCTGCAGGCCTTACCTGACCCTCCATTTGTTTTTGTAAATAAAGTTTTATTGGAATAGTGCCACACTCACTCATTTACACATTGTCTATGGCTGCTTTTGTAACACAGCCGCAACAGAGACCGCATGGCCTGCAAAGCCTAAACCAGCATCTGGCTTTTTACCGAAGAAGCTTGCTGATTCCTCAGCTAGGCCGCTAATTGGGCCGGTTCGTTAACTTATAGGCTGTGGTCAGAGAAAACAAAAACCGTACCAGTTTTGTACAAGAAAGTCAACCAAATGGAGCGATGTCTGGTCTGCAGTTCGAACCGCAAGATGAAGGGCTGTCTCCCCGAGCTCCTGAAAAGGAAAGAATAAGCATAAACAGGGGGGTCATATGTCCCACTTTGCCCAGAGCTGCTTCCTTTACACCAGCGACTCCAAAGTAATTATTAACAGCATCCGCTTTCACTCTCGAATTGTCCTGACTTAGACGGAGTCGCCCAATGCACCAGAATCTCATTATAGTAAAACGAGTCGCCTTGCAAGCGGGCTTCCCACATCCCTTCCTGTCTGCGGTTTTCTTGAAGCCTCACCTGTCCAGGCTCCAGAAGTGGTTCCATGAGCTCCACCCCCTCTGTGTAGACTTGAACCAGTGCAAGTAAGTCCCTGGACCTGATGGCCTCGAGCAACGCACTCAGTTTGGCTGAGGAAGATGGACAGGTCTTCCTTGAAAACCTGTGATCTACGTACTTCGCCGTGATATATTCTTTCCGTACAGCCCTAAAACACAGCAAAACGGTACGAGCCAAGAATTTTTATTTTCCGAGAGTGGACAAAGATTTACATTTTTCTGACAAACAATTCTCTTTGAGAAGAGTTATTTTAATTAAGATACTTCTTTTTAACATTCAGACAAACCAGATTTTAAACCAAGTTATTCCAAAAGAGACAGAATGAAGAAGCCGGTGTATGTTTACTAGTATGTGCAGGCGATGCGTAGCAGGCGATAACGGGCACGTAGATCCCAGCAGCTTTCGTTCCCACCTTGGGCAATAGGATGGGAAATTTGCTATTTGTTACACCTTCAAACTCAGACACACGTAAGTATAGAATGACACTGAAAAATTCAATATGTTAAAACAATGCTAAAGACCAATGAAAGGTTTTCGGAACTTCACAGAAAGGATTTTGGTCATGTGACATAACTCCGTATTTTAAGACGCACGAAACCTGAGATTCAGAAAGGTGGTCCCTAAAGCCTTATTTCTCTGTAATTTGTGCTCATTAGTGTAAAAAAGACAGCGAAGCAGTTTCTGTGCTAGGATGAAGCCTGAACACTTGTTAAGCCAGATGCCCCCAGACTGGGCCCTGACTTCCCCGACTTCTGTGACACTTACCGCAACTATGACCACAGTTAACTGTCGAGTTGCTTAGTTACTACCTGCCTTCCTCTCTGGACTCCGGGGACCACAAGGACAGGGTTTATATCTAGTCTGTGTTTTGCTATTTCCCCAGCATCTAACATGATACGAGGCATAGAATAAACATGCAATACACATTTGATGAATTCAAGAAAAGACAGCTGTCAAGAGGCCTACCGGGAGATTTTATTTCATGATTTCAGAGTGGGGAAAAAAAAAAAAACTGGGAGATTTTATTTCATGATTTCAGAGTGGGGGGAAAAAAAAACCATGTCCCTTAAATATGCCTCATAACAGTTTTAGTGCTTTGCAAATTTGGTGGCTTGAGCAGCCCACCAAGGAGGGGCTGGCACCTGACCACTCAAGCCAAACTGAAATCTTTCCTCCTATTCATTCACAGTATTAAACGAATTTTAAATATAAATTCCACGTAAAAATGTTCGAATAGGTTTAAAGATTCACATGACTCAAAGATAAAAACGAAATCAAAAGGTTTACTGAGTCGTCTCGTGCTCATGCCGATGCCAGAGTAAACACTTCCGTTTCTGGTGTATTTTCCGGCGTTCTTCAAGCAAACACAATTTCAAAGAAATATATGTGTTTAAGTATTCTTCAGTGTCCAAATTTATTTGGTGTCTGAGTCCAGACAGTGAGGAGTGAGTGCTCAAAAGCGAGAGATGTGTCAGCAAATTTACCCCAAAACTCAGTTCCTGAGTTTGGATGGCATGTCTCTGTCTAGAGCAATGTGGACTTGTTCCCATGCCTCCTCCTCCCTTCCTTACCCCAAAGACAGTCTGTTTCTGTACAGTGTTCTGCACGTTTTTTTGTTTTTTTTTTTTTTAAATGTAATGGTAATCTTGCAGATCATCCCAAATCAGGACATAAGAAGTGTCCTTATTCTTACATCTGCAGCGTTCCATTGTATGGCTATACCAAAAAACATTTAATCAGATGCCTACAGGTGGATATTTGCTTTCTTCTTAATCTACTACAGAAGAGGAATAATCTCCCGGAAGTGGGACTGCTGAGCCAGAAAGGTAGGTATGTTTATAATTGTGATAAACATGGCTAATTGCTCCTCGCGGACAGTGCAGCAGCACCGTGTAAGGGAGAGGGGCTGCTCCCCACAGCCTTGCCCGGCGCGCTGTTTGTTAAGCTTCTGCCGATCTGATAGGCATCTCCCACTGCTATGGTGTGTCTCTTATTTATCACAACATGCCGTGACTTAGAGATAATCGTCCTTATGAAGATTTATCCTTCAGGCCAGCTGCAACTCCCTAGGGGAAGGTGATGGTGAAAATAATCTGTGCATTCCAGAAATACATTTCAAAGTACTTTTCCTTGCTTGGCTTTTTCCTCATAATGAGGTTTCTTCTGGAGGGTAGGAGGGAGAATTCTATAACTACTAAGAAGTTTTTTTTGGAAAGTAGATAAACAATTATAGAATGGTAAAGAATTCAATCTATCAGAGGTACTTACATATCGCTTGAAGGGGTGGGTTTTGGTGAGGGGCTGGGTAAATTTGCTTCCATAATATCGTTAAAACTATTGTTTCCTACATTCTTGGCCAGCTGTAACAAAAACAAAATGCAACATAGCACACTCTTTACTCTTAGTTTAAAAGTTTCCTATTATTTGTTTTTGAAATTTCTGAATATGGTCTTTCTCTCATTTGACTTGGAATACAAACCATCCATCCATCTGGTCAACAAATATTTACTGAGCACTTAGGTCCCTCCCCTAGGAGCTAACAGGTTTGTGGGAATATTGATAAGAAAATCAGCAATTTTTATAAATACAATGTGATAAATGCTAGAACAGATGTGATCCTACACACACACGTGCACACACACACACACACAATCTGAGATTAGACACAGGTTAAATGCTTAATGAACAATAGCTTTGCAATGGCCATCGTGCCTCGTTTTAGATTAAGCAGATGTAGAATTCTTTTATATTTGGGGTACAAATTAAGATGTGGCAGGCAACTAAAGAAGAAGCCCAAGCAAGCATTTTGCTTCTGGGTTCAACATCCTTCCAAGAAAATCTGTCCTGAAGGGCTTTTGGTCATTCAGATCATTTTAGGATCAACGCAAAGTTTAAGAAACATTCATGCAATCAGGTATCTGGGGTAAAAAATCGTGAGTTTATCACCGAGCAAGCGGTTAGGATCTGGACTCTCCCCATTTCTTGTTATCAAATGGTTTCATTAATGTAAAGTCAAGGACATGGAGTGACACTATTTCCATACTAAAAAAGACGGTTTCTGAAGTGATTAGGGAGCCCCTTATGATACTTCCTAAGTCACACGACATGAGACAGGATATCATTGCTTAATGGCTGCTCTGATGACAAAGGCTGCAGGCTGCGGGCTAACTGCCCTGACCTGTGGGTCCTTTTCTCCACACAAGGCTGGTGATAAGACGGTTTTCCGATTTTGGAGCCTCAAGCTCACTCAGGTTCTGTTCAGGAGCCTTCTGTCTGAGGAAGAGCCCTGATGTACTTCGCACACTCTCGCCCTTAGTATAAAGACTCTCGCACAGTGCACCAGGGTTCAAATTACGCAAGACAGGGCTTATGACCACAAGGCATCATGGGAGGTGCCAAGCGGGCCTTCCCCTCCTTTATTTGTGTATTGTGGGGACCGATTTAACTTGGACCTGATGAGGGCTCCAAACGTGGGTGAATCGTGATGGGAAGAGTAGGCTTATAAATCCTTTGTGTGTTTATAACTCTTTTCCATATTATAAAGCTGAGCACCACAGCTTCACGCGATTTTTCCCCTTACGACCTACAGGAGTTACAGGTTGAAGGGGTCAGTTTTACGATAGTGGCTAACAGGCCACGCCCAATTCATGAGTACTTTTACAAACTTATAAACAGTAAAAATAGAGAAAAACTCTCTAGTCATTGTTTTGAATAACATAAGCCCCTGGGTAAAGTGAACATGTGAGTTCAGCACCTAACTCCCTTTTCTGCTATCACAGTGAATCATATAAACCTAATTCTGAAAGAAAAAGCAGCTTTAAAAAAGCCCATCCCAGAAGAAAACAGCTAGTTTAGCTGAACTAATTACAGAAATGTATGATTCACCAGTTCTTCAAACAGGAAGTAGAAATAGTCAACATGACGTACAACGAAATTTACATTTTAAATATCTATGCGAA